AGGCCAGCAAGTGGATTTAATATTGCTTTGTAAATTGTTTCCAACGTCGGGAAGCAATTGTTAAACTCATGTTTGCCAATATGTTTAGCAATAAAAACGTTATGCACTTGCTTGCAGATAAAATATACTATATTCCAAAGTTTCCTTTTTCAATACTTATTTCCCAGTTTATTCAATATCATAATGTATAAATGGCAGTATTTGTGAGACTGATCAGTACCAATCTGCACAAAGGATTATTTCTGACAATCATGTGGATCAAAATGGATGTTTTTCTTTCAGGCAGGGCATGAGTCAGACACCAGGTCTGGCATTAGCCATTAACCAGGCTTTAGGAGAAGGGTGGGGGGCCTGTCCCATGCCTATCAGACACACAGGCTGTATAATCCACACTGACAGCCTGAGGTCCAGTCTAAAAGGGTTTTCTCACTCAGCCTGCAGACAGGTGAGCTTTGATGGCCTCTGGGTTTCAGGAAATTCTGTTATGACCCACTGAGCAAGCAATAATGCAGCCCAGAGAGCATTAACTCTGAAGGGGACGGTGCTGGACTTTGTCTCAAAGTAATGCTGTGAACCGTGCTTTTTCGTGACTGATATCCTGCTGTACAGCAAGATAATAAGAACAGTGTTCAAGCCCTACAACATGTGTTGAGCCTCAAACTTGTAATTGCTTTGCGATGGGATTTGAGCTACAAGTACAGGATAAAGGCCAGCAAGGTTATTAACAGTGAAGAGCGACTTCACATAAAATACCATGTCGTCGCTATATAGCCATGTGGCAATATATCATGTACAAGTAATTTGTCAAATTTCTATTAAGTTGTCACGTCAAGGATGTTGTTTTACTAGATTTGTTATGAATTTTCTATATCAGCTGACTAAGTGGCAGATTATTAAACTGGAATTCCTTTTGTTCTGGCTTACTGGCATTTGAGTGGATGCTGTGAAAACATGCTCGTAACAACTGATTGTCCTCACATGAGAGGAACTGGAGGAAACCAGAAAAAGCTAATGGTGATCTTGCATTCCTCCTGTGATAATACCTGCGTGCGTGGTTAACACACGTTGTTTAATGTGCTGCTCCTGGGTGAGTTTGATACCTGGTTACCGCTCTAATTTGATGTGATGCTGTAAGGACCATTAACACACGTACACATCATTTCACACTTGTCTAAATGCTTGAAATGTAAATAGTGTTGCCTTAAAATAGCATTACAGCTCAAAGGGCAGAGGGTTTCCTAAAGAGGTAGCAATACAGTAACTCAAACCTAAACATGTGCCAGCTTCAACTGAGAATATTTGTAGGTATAATAATGTCTTAGATTTCTTCCCTTGGGTGGATCGTCTCATCTAATCGTCTCTTCCGCTCATCATTTATTCATCATCATTTCTCTTGTGTATATTAATAGCCGTCATGGGAATACTACCAGTGATTTGGTTATTTAAAAGTTTGTCTTACCATACACGTCTCCAGGCTATGCCATGATTAGAACCAAGTCCCAGTAACTCTGACATATGGGAAGCATCAACCTTTTCCAGGTTGTCACTTCCTTCCTCTTTATTTTCTCAGCCATGATGGAGAACCGATGGTGATGTCCATTCGACGATGCCCCTGCCCATTAGAAAGGTCACCTCAAGTCATTAAGGGGGTTGCCTGTGGTCCAAAGGTAGACCTTAGACAAATTGAAAGACAGCAGGATATGAATTACAAATGTGAAAGAGAGCTCTACCTGTATTTCTACTTGAGCTTTATAAGGAAGGAAAGGCTCAGTGGTAATGGCTTGTTTACACTGTTTGAAAAGCGCTGATCTTCGGATTCATGTAATTTGCTCCCAACTCAATCAATCAAGGTATCAATCAGCGGTCTGTGCTTTAAGTAAACATATTAATCGCTTTGGATTTCTGCTTTCCTGATGTCCAACCAAAAGGTCAACAGCAACTGTGAGCGAGAAGAATGTAAAGAGTCCCAACTGAAGCTAGAGTTTCCATCTTAAGCAAACACTAATTAGTTGAATAAGCAGTAAAACCGTCATTAAAGATGACTTGTTCTGCTGCAATGCCAAGGGCCGAAAAGCTACTTGGTGCTTCTCCCATCAAGGCAGGAAACCCCAGGTTATAATGGCAATGGCTCCTGACAGACCCTCAGTAGCAAGGAATTTGTTTCAATCAGCTCGAAAACCATTAAAGGTGGGGTAGGTAAGTTTGAGAAACCGGCTCGAGATACACTTTTTGTTATATTCAATGGAATGCTCTTAACATCCCGATAGCAATGAATATCTTAAGTGCTTTGACAAAAAATCCATAAAAAAATGTCATCTGTGGAAGCCGTAGTACTGTAAAAAGCACGGCCCGGCTAAAATAACTGGATGGCCTACCTGCGTGTCAGCCTTCCATCTGTGCACAAACTTATCTCGTGCCCTCATTGGTCATGTGCGCGTTCGTGTGTGTTGGAGGAGGGGCTCTGTAAGGAAGTGGCAGATTTTCTCCGGTTGTGTATTTTCAAATTCTAGCGATCTCGAGCCGGTTTCTCAAACTTACCTACCCTACCTTTAACTCTAAATGTATGTTTTGTATTTGTTTTTGTTGCAGAGACTACTGTCTCTCTGCTCTACGACTGGTGAATGAAAACTGGATCTTGATAATAAAGTTCAAGAGGGGTAAAAACGCATTAAATGTAGGGATATTTGCTTCATACAGGCAAGCAGTGAATACAAAAAGTTGTCAATCCCTCAATTATGACTTGGATGAGGTCACACCTTGTTGCATTACTTTTGTAAGTATTTATTCCACACTGTATTTGCTGCTGCTCCTGGTTAACTTCAGTGTTTCCTGAGCTTTTGTTCAACTATTTTATTCATCACTATTATTAAACTTCACCCTTATTTTCCACAGAACGCTGATTGATACCTTGATTGAATAAGTTATAACCTTTTAGTTGTTGACGCCTGTATGACATTATGAAATGTTTATCTTCGTTTTACAGGTTCATGTTTGCACAGAACTATTTGTACACAATGGTTTATTTGGTACACAAAGAGTTAGCATTTATGTATACTGCCTGTTAGAGGGTTTTATAACCCACTCTCACTCTCCACTTAGTGGTTGGGAATATGGCGGACCCTCCACAAGAACTGGCAATAGTTTTCAATGTGGGTGTAGGGGCGGGATTATGATTGTGCCATTCTGTGTGTGTAGAATGGAGGGAGCTTTAAGCTGCGTATCAATGTGCGACCCTGTACTGTATGAGGACAATAAAGCTAAACCTTGAACCTATGCATGTTTCTCAACAGTACATATAGTGTTATAATGCTATTATCTTCTTTGTAATGTCCCTCTTGTCACTATTGCTATCTCTTAAATCTAGATTACATAAAAGACCTCAACCTCTACCTTGGTATGGTTACATGACATTGACATGTGACTAAATATAATCAATGGACAGTTAATTCTATTTTACCATCCAAGGACAATCCTGTTCTTGACCTTACAGCATATACAATTACATGTACAGTATAATAATAGGCCCCATTACTGCACAGTGTAATGTACATATATAGTTAAAGATTGTGGTTTGTTCTGTGAATTCATTGGAAACTAATGCGCTTTATTACTATTTGCACTTTCTGGTTGGATGCAAACTGTATTTAATTGTACACTATGCAATGACAATAAAGTTTGATCTAATCTTTATCAAATTCTCTTGAAAAAGTGATGTGCTGCAGCAGAAGTTGTTCACTCTCCACTCTGTCTACTGAATATATTATTGTGATTGTTGTAGGTACTCCCAAGTGAACTCAGTCTTGCTTGTTATGAACACTAGGAGACTAGAATCAAGACTCTTTCCTCTCAGTGACTTTTATAAACAGTAAAACCTTCATGTCAGCAAACACAGCAAAGTTTATACTAAAACATTTTTTTTCAGAAGTACCTATTGTTCTGTATGAATTGACCCTGGGTTTCTTTCTTTCTTTTATTTACCCACTGAGCTTCAACTCAACCAATAAGATGGTTTCTTTCTCCAGAGCACCTCAAATATGTTTGTACAACTCAAATTGCAATCTGCCTCTCTCACTCTCACTCACTGTCATTGACTTTGGTACTGCTGCTACTTCTCTCTGAATACTTTAAATATGTGGCAGCTGAGAGTTTGGGCAGCAGCCGCCCTGGTGGTCTTTCACTTCTCTAATTGCAGCCCCCCTCTTCATCTCCCACTCCCCTTCTACATCCCTCTCTGCTGCAGCGTTCTTCCCATCATCAGTGGATTTACAGCCCAATCACTGTTGCCATGGAATGTAAAATGTCGCGTAACAATAAAACATGTAATCTTCTTAATGGAGGGACTGACCTTACAAGTTTGATCCGAGTGTTGCATGTCAATCTGCCGTCACTTCTCGGTCAAACTGCAGGTCTTTATAAGGATTTGTCCCTGACATGTTTAACATTATCCCTGCTCCAACCGGGTTGAAAGGACACCTTATAAAGTCACCCTGAAGATTAGGTAACTCGTGCCTACATTACAATACAGAGACAGGCCTTTCCAGTCATTAGACAGAGCCCTGCACTACTGTAACTGCACCGAGGCTGGCTCTGCTCACACACACCTCCTAATGGCTTTCCCAGGAGCGGCCCCTGGCTGGCCCGAACTCTTGTAATAAAAGGTTTGGATCTTTAAAGTGAAACAGACATGCCCTACATCTAGCTGGGCACAGTGTTGTGTACAGCAGAGCGAAACAAGGGGTCCATGTTGGATTTAGTGAGCATTTAATTGAGTACAGTAAGACCGAAGGGACTGGAAGGGAGTAGTGGGAATTATGTTTAAGACCCAGCTCATGAGAACATAACATTGATGTCCATCCAGACATCTATTTCAGCGCTTTTACCCCCACATGCATGTATTTCACTGCCCTCTTCTCAGCTTCCTTCTTCCCAAGTGTCTTTGTGCTCAGTGGCAGGGTTAAGAGTTCGATCTAATTCATCCTTCTTCTTTTTTTTTACCACAGGGGCAGTGAGGTGGACAGCAGGCCTGTGCCAGTGAAGGATTAAACACTGTCATCACCCTCTCCTCCCCCCGGTGCTCAACACTCTTCCATCACCCACGACAGCAGGTCCCAGTCCTCCCAAACTAAGGCCAAACACATGCCAAACTGCAGAGGGACAGACAGGTAACTCCACTTTGATACGCAGCATATGTTTCCAGCCTCAATGTACATCTTGACTGCCTGCATCCCCAGTTTACACAGGATATAATAATATAGGACTTTACTTTATTGGACTTTTTATTGTGTCTGTGCATGGAAAGCATTGACCCCTCATCAAATTACCTCATGAATTAAAGGGTTCCCCTGTAGATCACAAGCAGACATAAAGCCCCACCAGTCCTTGAATATGGAACTTTTCATTAAAATCGCTTAAAAAAAAAAGAGGCTAAACCAAAATGTATTGAACCAATCATGTCGTAATGGCCTTGGGTCTTTTCTTTTCATGTGACCCGTAAAGTGCTAACATTTGAAGTCAGTCTGGAAACCCAGAGAAATACTGTAGGCGGCCATATTGTTCACACACTTGGTACTTCACACCTTTTGTCTCGTGTCAGTGATTCTTCCTCAAACTCATTTCCAGAACACAGTGACTGCAGTGTACAATAATGGAGGTGCCATGACATTGACATGTTCCATGTGTGCATCACATTGCCTTTAAACTTAAGCTATTCAAACGTATCAAAGGAGTGAAGGAAGATTACCTCCCAATGCTTAAATTCTTCCTGTTCTAGTGTTACTGTAAAACATTAAAGGATTAAATGAACATTTTGACTACTTTTTAATTTAGTTGTAAATGGCAATTCTTTCCTTCTGTGTTCTATCAAAAAACAGCTGAATCCAGCATGCACACTTAAGACACACTCAGGCTTGGGCGCTGGCGTGGAAGGTGGTCATGATTCTTGGTGCCCACAGCTGGAGATCACCCACACAAATTCCAGGAGGATTATCTTAGTTTAAAGCTGGGGTTTTGGGGGGGTAGGAGAGCCATATTCTGTGTGGGACCCTATGTATATTAAGCAAACCACTCTTGCTGGTGGGCCATTTTAAATCATAAAATATTTGACTGCTTCAGCCCCTTTTTTCATTTACTTTATGTCCTCTCAGACACTCCATGAACTTCTCCAGTTATTTGGATATTATCCCAGGTTCTAGTTTTCCCACACTAAATCCTGATGATATCCACATTCATAAAGGTTGGCACTGGCTGACTACAATGTAGTACAGTACAAAGAGAGAGACAGGCCTTGGATCCAGACTTGTGTCATAAGTTCAAAACAACAAAAAATAGTCGATCCTCCATTGTAATAAGTAAAACATGTTCTTTTTAGTTTGAAAGAAGACAGCAAAACATTCATGTTGGAAAGGCTAGAGCAGAAAAAACAGGACTGTTCATTCATGTCCAAATCTTTAACCCCACTGTTTAAATATCAGTCTTCATCCACCAACAGATTACAATATTAGCTATATGTTAATGGACTAAAGCCCCACAGACTCAAATCTGAATCCGGCCCGCATCTTGTAGCCCCTTCTCAATGCTGTTAAGGGTCAGGAGAAAGTCTGATTGACAAATGAAGGGTCTCCTCTGGGGGTGAAGGTGTGAATCTGACATGGAGCAGGTCTTCTTAGTGAAGCAGAAAGTATAGCTGTTGGAAGTGTTTGATTGAAATGTTCACATCCAACTTTTATGTGGAAAAGTATGTTTCCCGTCACATCACAAACAGCTAGTACTGGATCTTTGCAAACTGTAACAATGATTTTCTTTCCCCTAGCTTTAGTAGACTTTCTATATGCATATTTTGTAGAAAATGTCGTCATCCCTTATCCCAGTATATCCATCATTTGTTCAAGCAAAAACATTTTCAAGGGATCATAGTGTAACCCCGCCTTCTAATAATGTAATGTAAAAACAGTGTCATTTCTGGCTGGCCACAAAGCGATATTGCTGAAATGTATCGTTAAAAGTTTCTCTACAATATCCGCCCTAGCAAAACAATATAAGCTAAGCTTTATCCCATTTTTTTTATGGTCATGTTTTGGCATTCACAGCCCTTTGTTATAAGGGAACAATTGTGGTCTTAGTTTATATTGTAAAATTCCAAAGTGACTTAAAGCTCCCATGTCATGCTTTTCCGGTTATTACCCGTCCCCTTGTGTGTTATGAAGGTTTTTATGCATGTAAACGGTGTGCAGAGTCAAAACCCTCAAAGTACACCCTGTAGCGAGTAAAACTCTAACACAGAAAATACCTCCCCAAAACGCCTCGTTGGAGATACGTCACTGCCCATTTGAGTCTTCCATTTAGTTCCGGGTACCGCCTGATGTCATGCGGTACCCGGAACGAAATGGACCAATCCCGAAGAGCTATGGCCACACCAGCAGCGGCGTGTTCCTCCTCCAGAGGTTCGAAGAACCGGCATTTCACAGACGAAAGCTTCCAAAACATTGCCCAGTTTGAGGCCGGATATGCACAGCTTGTTTGGACCGTTTGGAGCAGGGGAAGATCTGGGTATACAACCTGTAAGTTTGCATTGTTATTTGTGTATTTATCAAACAAGACTGTTTAAATGTGTAAACTGTGTTGGACTGCTAAGCCATTGACACAGTGCTAACTGTGCTAACTAAGTTGCTAGAGTTTCCATATATCAACTCTAATATCAGCAGATGGCCTTGCATACATGTATCTCATAGCAGGAGAATGTCTGCATTCACACACAAAATACCTATTGACAGTATACTGCGGGTGATTTGCCGGTCAGTCGCGAAACGTAATTACATTATAGCTGGCGTAGCGATCTAACACACGGAGCTTGAGCTAGTTTTGGTCAGAAAAACATTTTTGTGATGCTACGTTGCTAGCGTTTAAATATATCAACTACAATGTCAGCAGATGGCCTTACATGTTTGTCATGGCAGGAGAATGTCTGCAGTCACACACACGGAATACTCATACAGTATACTCCGGTTTACCGTACATTGTGACCGTACATATACTGCATGTAGCTAACGAGGCTAGCTGTATGCTAGCGCAAAACAATGTATTCATGCAAGTTACATTGTATGGTAGCAGAATACCCGTATACGATTGCAATTATAAACACGTTATTGCTAGCCTAATATGAACCACTAGCTTTTGTTCATAGTAGTTTTATTACACTGCATTATAGTTGCCTTTCCTCCAAGCTAACGTTCATATCGTGTTAGCTACCAAGGTAAACAAAGCTAGGTTAGCATATTAGCAGGCAAGCTGTTCATTACACAACTACTACTAACGAATCTAAAACAACTAAGTTTCTCTAATATTTTGTGATTTGCATTTGATTTCGTCCAGCCAGATCCTGGCGGACAATCCATGACGGGGAAGGGATTCTACTGAGGGTGCTAAAAGGCACCGCACCGCACCGGCTGTGCGCAGGCAAGAGGAGGAGGAATGGATGATATACCGTGTATATATGTATATTTATGTTCATTTTGTACATTTCTAAAAATAAAGTTTAATGGAAATACTTAGTAGGCCTATCCTTTCTTCCCTGAATTCATATATAGCAAACCATGATTTGATTTCTCATCAAACAGTAGTAGTTTATAACGGGTAAAAATAACTTACTCTTTGTTATGAGAGTAGCTCGTAGGCCACAAAGACAAGGAGACATACACGAGTTTACAAAACCACGGCACATTTATTGTGGTAAATGCAAAGATACGTTGAGAGGATCGCAGAGTTAGTCTTCCTGCAGCCGCTTTGGAGAGAGACTGGGGCCGTAGTGTCCGGAGGTGTCCGTGATCGTGCTGATTACCCTCTTCAGCTCCACCCCATCGTAAGACAAAGGCCCTGGGGCCGTCACACTCTTCTATAACAACAGTTAAAAATATATATGTATATAAAATATACCGCTGTACCGACGCCATGATAAGACTGATGTTACGCTGAGAGCAGCCGGGAAAAGCACTGACATGGGCGCAGCCTCTCTGGTGGTTGACTAATCAGAACGAGTGGCCGAGCTGACCAATCGGAGCACACTAGGCTCACAGGGAGGGGGGGGCAAGAGCTCCAACGAGTCGTTTAGTGGAGAAAGTGAATACTGCTGAATACACATGCTTGACAGAGATGCTGTATGCGAAACCAATGTGAGTTTGGAAAATTGCACAGTATAAATCTATTTTAGTATACCTCAACAATGTAATTATGATCAGTGGAAATGGCCATGACATGGGCCCTTTAAAGCACTGGACAGGATGTTAACATTTAAGTGTAAGGACTTTTGTTGCCCGCACATACCCATATCAAGGTACCTGGTCTCCAGTGTCGGATTCCTGACCCACTTTTCATTGTGATCACCTGCTTCCAATATGCGTGCAGAACAACAATGCTCAACTTCCTTTGCTGGAAAAAACATACTCCAGGACCCTTTAACATTTCAGATTGAAAAACCTAGTTGGAAAAATCAATTAGCAGTACATAAATCCATCCGCACAAAAACAGTCGTTGCTATTTTGCTTTAAGTGCCACTTAAAGTAAAGCGACTGAAAATGGTAAATGAGTTTTGTGCATTTTGTGAGATTGTTCAAACCTGTGTGTAGGCCACAGGTATTGACCTCTGTTTCTTCCTCTCTGGCTGCTTTAACAGTAACTGATCCTATTTGGACGGTATTGACCCTCTGTTGGGCCAGCGCTTGCCTCCTTCTCCTTTCTGCTGGAAGCACTGCCCCTATTGATCTCGTTCTTTAAGTGTTACCATAAACTCCCTCCCCATTAGTTCAAACTGGACGGCTTCTTTGGTCCACCCCATGATTCACCCAGACAGTCCTCTACAGAGAAAGAAGAGCCCTCTCTCCTCTCCATACCAACTTCTCCAGACTACTCTTATCCCTCCTGCATTGCATTGCCTCCTCTTATATTACCTCTCCATCAGCCACTCTCCTTCTCCACCCTTTCACACATTCTTTCCTTTGTTTAAGTGTTGTACTTCCTGGTTTCCTGCTGTACAAAGTGCTTCTATACAGGAGGGATTCAATTCACCCATAATTTGGTTTGGATATTTTTTTATCTGCGCCATTTGGTTGTTGAGAGTGTGGCCACTGTCTCTGTTGTTGATAACGGAAATGGACTCGCTGTACTGTGCTAA